GGAATCTCCCGATCTTTCATTGGCAGGTAATTTTCTTTTAAAACATCATGTACAGTGTACAAGGTCTGCCTTTCGTTCATTAGGTAACGGACTTCAATTCTTTTGCCAATTCACCATTCTTGAAGGGGTGAAAACTGGGGCACTTGCTTAGAAGATACCAATTCTCCATTAATCATCTACGTCTTAAGACTAGAACCTAAACCTATTTTAAGCAATGAGATAGTGCAATGTCTAATGCTAAATTATCTGTTCATTATACAAGATATTTAATCTTGCTGGTATTACGTTTTATGGTCGAAGCTATGCTAGGCATTTATTATCCTTGATTATAATGTTCACTTCTCTAACTTCAATCAGGTAGTTGTGTTGAGGGTTTTTGACTTCTTATTACTGCCTTATACTTTATGACTCATTGCTGCTTCCTCCGTCTAAGTTCATTGCTAGCAACTTTTTGTCCTTTTATTGGCAAGCATGGTAGACAAAGGGCACACAATGCCAAAGATATTTTTTTTCATAACAGATAGTTGGGGTTTCAAACCGGCCTTCTCGCCCTTCCCCAAAGGGGGGTAAACACGAGGCGGTGTGCTAGTAAAGATGCTGGACCCCAAAGGGGTGTGGATTTGAGGGCGGTCCCACATCAATTGGATAAAGGAACGAAGAACAGCGAGGACGCTGGGTCCCGACCCAGATCCATCGCTAGCAGATATTGTCCTCTTTGGGCTTTCTCTTTCGGGCTTCCCCTCAAGGCTTTAAAACGTGTCTGCTAGGGGAAGGTTTCCACACCCTTATAAAGGGTGATTTGTTCTTCTCCCCAACCAATGTGGGACATCACAATCCACCCCCATTTGGGACCCAGCGTCCTCGTTGGCACTCGTTCCTTTATCCAATCGATGTGGGACCGCCCCCAAATCCACCCCCCTTTGGGGCTCAGCATCTTTACTAGCACACCGCCTTGTGTCTATCCTCCTTTGGGGAACAACGAGAAGGCTGGAACATCATCCGGTGACTGGCTCTGATACCATTTGTAACGACCCAGATCCACCGCTAGTAGATATTGTCCTCTTTGGGCTTTCCCTTTCGGGCTTCCCCTCAAGGCTTTAAAACGCGTCTGCTAAGAGAAAGTTTCCACACCTTTATAAAGGGTGATTTGTTCTCCTCCCCAACCAATATGGGACATCACATTTTCTGACCAAATTTCATAAAGTAGATATGAATATCGTATTTTAGATCAACGAGTCTATTATAATGTTCTCGATCTTAAATATTCTCTGATTGTTCCCAATGCTTGAATTTTCTCTGTACATCGATCCCTAGTTTTATTTCGGTGAAAGACTGCATGTTCCCTTTGAGAGAATATATATAGTTATAAAATTTAACTCATGATATCATATATTTGCTCAGGATGTTAGCAGATCCTGCCTTTCTCTATAGGCTTCTTTTAGAGCAGGCTGCTACGATTGGTTGCACAGCTTGGTGGGAAATAAAGAATCGCAAGGATAGGTTCGTCCTCTAGTCTTATGTAAAACTTTGTTCATCATATTATTTAATTTGCTTGGCTACAAACCTTTGTATTGTTGTGACTCCAGGATCAAACAGGAATGGGATCTGGCGCTCATTAATGTTCTTACTGTAACTGCGTGCAATGCTATTGTTGTTTGGTCGCTTGCTCCGTGCCGTTCGTATGGAAATACATTCCGATTTGATTTGCAAAATACACTGCAGAAACTTCCCAATAATTTATTTGAAAAAAGTTATCCTATGAGGGAATTTGACTTGCAAAAGAGAATCCATTCATTCTTCTACAAAGCTGCCGAGTTGTGCATGGTCGGTATAACCGCGGGAGCAGCTCAAGGTGCTTTGTCCAATTTTCTGGCCAAGAAAAAGAAGGATAGGTAAAGGTTATTTCATTTTGGCAATCGAAAGGCTTACCGAGTGCTCCATTTTTCGTGACTTGGAATTGTGTACTTGTTTACCAGGCTATCTGTATCAGTGCCAACTCTGAGCACCAACGCTCTCGGTTATGGCGCTTTTCTCGGGCTCTATGCTAATCTCCGGTATCAGTTATTATGTGGTTTTGACCGAGCAATGATCAATCATTTTGATGTTATTGGAGTCGCCCTGTTTTTCAGCTCTGCATTGAGGTTTGTTCTTTTCTCCCCCTTGTGAAATTTATGTCTAGTCGAACCTTAAACTTTCCCGTTTTTCTTACGATCTTAGTTTAAACAAAGGGTGTTGATTCATCTTATCCAAAAAGTCAGTATTAGCTAAAGAATGTTGAATGAAACTATTCTGGAACTGTCTGTAGGGTTTTGAATGTGCAACTAGGAGAAAGATCAAGATTGGCTTGGCTTGGAGTAGAGGCAGATCCACTGGTTCAGTCAAGCGACCTCTTGCAGAAGGTTTACAACCGACGTTCGGAAGACGTTAATAGGTCTTCCTCAAAATGGTTTATTTCAAAGAACGCCATAACTTCTGGTCTTGGACTTCTCGGTCTCAAACAGACCGGTGCTGACTCCGTCTCTGAAGGTGAATCAATACCGAAAGCACGGAGGAAGAGAATTGTTCGAAAAAAGGTAACGGCAGGTTCGTCGTGATCTTTCTTTCCTGTCGATGCATTCTTCAATTCCCAGTTTTGCAGTATGACAATAGATTTGGTGCAAAGTGACCATATAAATCTTTGATAAAATGTAGTTGCTAGGTGGATAATATTTCGTTTGATGTACCCTGAGAGATCCAACTGGAAGGATTCATTTTAAAACTGAAATGATGCAATTGTTGTATAATTTCTCTTTGTTTTCCACAGGCTAGATTGAGTGCTTAGTGGTTTTCTTCTGCTGTTATCTCTTACTGAATAAGGTTATCGAAGTAGTTTGCATCGGATCGGATTGAGTTAGAGCTCGTTTGAAATGACGTTATGAATACTTTAACGTTTTAAAATCTTTTATTTTTCTTGGTAAGTATTTTGAAAGTCACTCCAAACGAGTTTTTGTTCATTTCATGGAAACGTTGGCAAAGATTCTCGAGAATTTTTTACCACAGGAGTAACTTGGTGCCGATGTGAAGGAAATATACACGAGGCTTTTCAATGTGTTATTTGAGTCTAAACCTGTCGTTTACTTAGGTCATTGACCGCGTTCGAACCATACAATACCATTTAACTCTAATGTTATAGAATTTGTCACAACTGGTGCAACCTCCGACGACTCACAGCATGGGTCGGTTTAGTTTTTTTTTTTTTTAATTTGAAGCATTGAAACCTCCTTTTAAGTGACGTTCGGTCAATCACTTGAGAGGCATGTTTCGAGTGATTTTGTTCTCTATCTATCATTTTTGGACTTTATATATGTATTTGTACCAATAAATATATGATGATACAATTTTGGGTAAGTTATAATTTTGACGTTATAATTTTGTCTTTACGTCTCACGGTTATACAATCTTACCTATACTTCAAAAAACCATTTAATGTAGGTCATGTTCCCGATATGATCGCAACCCGTCAATGAAAATTTAAAATTGTGGGTCCTACTTTTACGATCGATTATGTTTACCATATTTTACAATGAAATTAATCTTTACGTGACTTCCCACCAAATCTATTCAACTTACTATCTATATTTTGGCTTACTTTCTACTATTTGTCATTTCTCTCTTTTAGCCGCTCTCATAACTTTCGTTTCTTCCTCCCCTTTTCTTCTCCTACTTTCTTTCTAAATCTTTTTCAGGTCGATAAAAAAAAAACGTTAAAATCTACAATTATTTTTTATAGTTTTATTAAAATTTATTCTCGTTGTTATAATGCAATAATAACGATATTTTTTTTATCATTGTTTTAGCGATGAAGGAAAGTCAAGTTTCAAATAGATTTCTAGTCTTATAGGTTAGCTCTATCCAAAAACCGTAACCTTTCCATAAATCGGAATATAGTTGGACGAAGCAAGGAAGGAGAGCGTTTAGATTGTCTTTTATCAAGTAGTTTTGGTCATATATGCAAGAATGATAATAAGAACTAAATCAATATTGGTCTTTTATAAACCGTAACCTTTCCATCTCGATGATATTGAATTGTATTAAAATATTATGAATAATAATATCAAAACGATCAAATCAATAAGATGTTACAAAAATCTTAAACGAACCATTTGGGATATATAAGTCACATAAGTGGAAATTAATTAAAATATATAAATTAAGGGTAACGGGCACCAAAAACGCTAAAATATTTGCAAATTTAGCAAAATAAAATATAAAAAAATATTTTTCTTTATGATTCCAATTTTACTCTTATTGATGGATCAATAGTAGAGATGTCCGCCCACACTGAGTGAGAATGGAGATACCTTCTCCGTCCCTATCCCCGCCACCTCAATCATTCTACATTCTCACAAATTTTCCATTTATTTTTGTGCGATCTCGTTCCCACGGGTAATTTTTTTAGTTTATTATTTAAAAAAAAAAAATCATTTTAAATTTTTTATTTTTCAAATAATCTTTATTAAAAAATTATTAAAAAAACCCAATAAATTAATATATTTCTTAAAACGTAATTTCTCAAAATTCAAATTTTAAGAAAGAAATCTATAATGAATTAAATAGCCATACAAACATATATATATATATATATATATTATTTTATTTCGAAATGTAGTACCAAACAATTCCTTTATATCCTAATGGTAAATGTATTTTTATTTAAAAAAAATAAAAAAAATTGAGGGTATTAATGAAATAAAGTATTAACGATTCTGGTCTGAAGATAGTTTAAAATTTTTTTCGAGGGTATTTTTAATTTTTTTTAATATAAAGTTTTAAGGATAATTATATAAAATTTAAGAATATTTTTTTTAATTAGTTTATGGAATTAAAAAAAAATAAATAAAAATTAAAAAAAAAAAGGGAAAAAAGTTTGAAAAGGAAGGAGGGAAATCCAAAAGAAGAGGGAGAGATAATAATCGTCCCTCCTAACTTCCACAAGCTTTCAAGTTTTTTGAAAAACACCCTCCCAAATCCAAACCCCCTCCCACCCCTCTCCTCTTCCAAACGTCTCTATAAGTGCGCTCCTTCTTCGTTCCCTCTCTCTCTCTCTACCTCTTTCTCTCTCTAGGTTGCCGCTTTTGCTTCTTCTTCCTCCAACCCCAACTCTCAGATCCTCTTCCCCACAATACCCACTTCCCACATTTCGCTAATTGTAAGCCCCAAATCTTGATTTCGCTATTTTCCTTTCATGGGTTTTGCTCGGATTCTTTGTTCTTGTTCTTGAATCTTTGATGCTGTTTTGCCTTTGTTTGGATTTTGTTCCTCCTCTTTGTTTGATGTTTGATTCACTTTAGCTACTGAACTATGCAATTTCTACTGATTTCTGAGGCTGCTTTGCCTTTGTTCTTGTTAATCAAGAACTTTTAACGCATTGTTTGATTCTAATTCATCGGGGAAATCTGTTTTCCTTTCACCCTTTAGATCTGTTGTTTCGTTTTGGAGGAATTTTGAAAGAGATTTTCATGTAGAACAGTTTGTAACTTATGATTTTCTATGATTTGTGTGCGAATTCAGTGGATTTTGTTGAATCAATCAGCTTGTGAGTTCTTCTATGTTCAATAATCTTGTGTTGAATGATTTGATTAACGTTTCTCCCCTGCTAATTTTTCGTTAGTGGAATGTTTGATTTCTGACCACAATCTGTTTGATAAATTTCCTCACAGAATGGACTCACTCCCAGATGCTATTATTCAGTACATCTTGTCACATATGACCAATGCTCGCGACCTAGCTGTCTGCAATTGTGTATCCAAGCGTTGGAAAGACTCGACGCCCTACATTAAAAGTCTCTATTTCCCTCGCAATTCCTTCGACAGTCATTCGGGCGAGTCGAGTCCTGACGTCATTGTTTGCAGGATAGTTTCATCCATTGTTCGCTTGGAGGAGCTTGTTGTTTATAGTCCATTTACAAGTGCTGGTCTTGCTTCATGGCTGTCTAGTATCGGCCCCTCGCTTCGGCGACTCGAGCTACGAATGGATAATTTGGTTGATCTACAAGCTTGTCAAGAGAGCCCTTCCAAGTTGGAATACCTTAAATCTGCTGAAAAATTGGAGTCACTTAAATTATGGGGTGTCTTAATGACACATTCACCTAGGTGGGATGTGTTCCAAAAGCTAAAAAACCTTGAGATTGTTGGTGCCAAGTTAGAGGATCCTGCATTGAACTCTGCTCTTCGTGCATGTCCTAATCTATCCAATTTATTGCTCCTTGGCTGTGAAGGTTTAACTTCAGTTTCAATTGAGCTGAAGCACTTAGAACAGTGTAAGCTGGACTTCTATGGCTTGGGGAACTGCTCACTTATGATCAATTCCCCTAAACTTCAACTCCTTGAAGTTCAAGGATTTAGTTGGATTAGAGCCCGTGGGACAAGTTCCTTGACAAGTCTTTCAATTGCAAATAATGCAGGTAATCATCATAACTACAAAGTCTTCCACAAGTTATTATGAACAACTAGAACTACACTTAAAAAAGTTAATCCAAACTCATTTGAAAACCTTTGTGATCATGATTATGTTCTTTATCTTTATGGTTTGTGAGCACGACATGATTCACGGGATGTATTCGTTTCTTGTATGCAACCCTTTAAAGGGAAGAGTCTCTACTAGGTGGAAGTTGTAGAGGATTGTTGGGAGGGAGTCTCACGTTGGCTAATTTAGGGAATGATCATGGGTTTATAAGTAAGGAATACATCTCCATTGGTATGAGGTCTTTTGGGGAAACCAAAAGCAAAACCATGAGAGCTTATGCTCAAAGTGGGCAATATCATATCATTGTGGAGTGTCGTTATTCCTAACATGGTATCAGAGTCATACCCTTAACTTAGCTATGTCAATAGAATCCTCAAATGTCAAACAAAGAAGTTGCGAGCCTCGAAAGTGTAGTCAAAAGTGACTCAAGTGTCGAACAAAGGGTATGGCTTTGTACCATTTGTTCGAGGGCTCTAGAGAAAGGAGTCGAGCCTCAATTAAGGGGAAGCTGTTCGAGGGCTTCATAGGCCTTAGGGGAGGCTCTATGGTGTATTTTGTTCGAGGGGAGGATTGTTGGGAGGGAGTCCCACATGGGTTTATAAGGAATACATCTCCATTGGTATGAGGCCTTTTGGGGAAACCAAAAGTAAAGCCACGAAAGCTTATGTTCAAAGTGGACAATATCATACCATTGTGGAGGGTCGGGATTCCTAACCGAAGTTTGCAAGATTTTGATACTCATTTCAAGACCTTGAATAGTCATTTGATACTCATTTCAAGACCTTGAATAGTCATTTGATACTCATTTTCTTCTTTCTTTATGTTTACAGGAAGAGTTTACATGGTGGATTTTGATAAGCTTGGTTCATTGGAGTCTCTATCCATAAGAGGAGTTCAATGGTGTTGGGATGCAATAAGCAAAATGCTTGAATGGGGGAGTGAGGTTAAACATCTTTACATGAAGGTTGAGTTCACTGGAGACTTTGATGCACTTGAGCCCTTCCCTGAGATTGACTTTGTTGAGTTTTTCAATCACCATCCAAAGTTGCAAAGGTTTGACATTCATGGAGCCATGTTTGCTGCACTTTGCCCCAAGAACAGCATTAAAAATGTAAGTAGGATTAGTGCCAAGCAAGACAGATTTTTCTTGAGATGGGTTTCTTGGCTTATAACTTACGTTTTTTTGGTACTTAGGTCGATCCGGACTTTGTAATCTCGTGTTTGGAGGAAGTATCGATTTTGGTTCGGTCGCCGTTGAATGCCGAACAGAAGATGAATACTCTCGAGTCGTTGATAAAGTATGGCAAGAATTTGAAGACACTGGCGATAAAGATTCTTCGGATGAAGAGTAGTCATAGCAGTGCTGATGATTTCTTTGATGAAATTTGCAAGTTTAGATATTTGAACCGCAAGATCGTTCGTATCGAATAGAAGCACAAGTGAGGCACTTTTCTCCTCATTTGTGGTTTTATTTGATCATTCTCTTTTGAATTCTCTTATGACAGGTTGATCGGCTCAAATGATTAACTTAGTTTGATCATTCTTTTACGAATGCTAATTGCTTGAATACCATATTCTTCGACGGGACGATCGATCAAAGATGATCAAAAAGACATTCAAGTTGATGTTTTTTTGCCTCCGAGCATAGCTTAATTTGTTAAGTTACCTTCTTTTATCGATCGAAGGTTTGAAGTTCTACTTGTTTGAATTGTAATATTAAAAAAAAAATGAAAAGTAGACTTATATTGTTGAAGAAATGTATTGGTTTGGAGGAATGATCACATATCTTCCCTAATAAAGATTGGATAAACGTTATTGAAGTTCAGTTGTTTAAGGCATATGGTCTTAACGTCGGGTCCCTTAGTTCAACAAAAAATCTCTCAAACAAGGGTTTAGATGTGTCTCGAGACACCATGTCTTTCTGCTAAACTTGTAAGGTTAACACAATCTCTCAAACAAGGGCTTGAACATGCCTCGAGACATCATGTATTTCTACTAACTTCAAGAATTTAGCACAAATCTCTCGAATAGGGATCAGAATGTGCCTCGAGACACCATGTCTAAACTAGCTGTCTTAGCTCTATTTCATTAAGAATCGAATCCTCGTAACAACCCATACTCCACCATTTCTATGGAGAGGTCGATACTTCTGTGTAACATGGTTCAAGGGGTTTAGTATTTAAGTTTGCTTGGTTTGAAAAATGTTCTTTCATGAAAGTGGCTATGGTGGTGATCGTGAATAATCAACGTTCAACCACCACTTGAACGTGCCAATAGTGGTGTTTGTGAACAACCAACGTCCAACCACTACCAATTAGTCATCATCTCCCGAATGCGACTATGATGGTAATATCGAAATCAATGTGTCATTACTGCTAATTAGTTATCATCGTGTTGAAGTTGTCTAACGTGCAATCACTAACAATTAGTATCACCACCCAAAGTTAGCTATGACGTTAACTATGAAATATCATCATATAGAGACAACCAAGCCACGAATAAAAACACGTCCTAAAACATTTTATAAAACATGTTCCACAACACTTATAACTCATACATCCAGAAATTCAATACTAACATAATATTTTATTAGGTTTGCCAAAATTACCACTTACCTAAAAGTAAGTATCTAAACGTTTGGGCCTCGATCCCGACAAGTAATAAATTTCAAGAAGTGTGATGTCCCACATTGGTTGGGGAGGAGAACAAATCATCGGCGTGGAAACCTTCCCCTAGCAGACGCATTTTAAAGCCTTGAGGGGAAGTTCGAAAGGGGAAGCCCAAAGAGGATAATATCTACTAGTGGTAGGCTTAGGTCATTACAAATGGTATCAGAGTTAGACACCAGACGATGTGTTGGCCTTTTCGATGTTCCCCGAAGGGGGGTAGACACGAGGCGGTGTGCCAGTAAGGACGTTGAGCCCTAAAGGGGGGTGGAGTTGGTGCTAGTTCCCCGAAGGGGATAGACACGAGGCGGTGTGCCAATAAGGACACTAGGCCTCAAAGGAGGTGGATTTGGTGCTAGTTACTCGAAGGGGATAAACACGAGGCAGTGTGGCAGTAAGGACACTAGGCCCCAAGGGGGTGAATTTTGTGGTGGTCCCACGTGGATTGGAGGGCCCGCAAATATTTTAAACAAATTAATGAGAAAAAAAAAGTTATTTAAAATTAATTTAAAAAAAAAATTAAAGTGTTGAAAATTGGGAGTATAAGTAAGCATGGCGGCGTACGACCGAAATTCTTCTAGTTTTCTAAAAACATCGTGCGAAAGAGGGTTGAATTGGAAACGAAGCAAGAGTCAAAGTAAAAATTCAAGAACAGTGCGAGAGAGATAGAGAGAATCGGAGAAGACAGCAATGGAGCGACGGAGGATGATTCTGCCTTCTTTGCTGTTGATTTTGAGCTTTTTGGCGGCGGATCTTGTGCGCCCCACCCATGCTATTTGGTTCAACCTTCCTTCTACTGGAACCAAGTGTGTGTCTGAGGAAATCCATAACAACGTCGTTGTTTTGGCTGATTATGTTGTGATCTCTGAGAATTATACCCATGCGCCCACCGTCTCCGTCAAGGTGAACTACCTCTGCTATCTTTTTCCCCTGGATCGGTCAACGCTAGGGTTTTTTGATGATTTTGTTTTATTTTCTTTCTGGATGTGTCTGGTTAATTGAAGAATCACTGCGATGAACTGAAATTACGGAATATTTTGATTGCTTATCTTGGACGGATCGAATACAGATCTTTTCGTTTTTCTCAGATTTTGTAGTGTTGTATTATGCACGAATATGGTGGAAAATGGATGTTATTGGTGCCGGGTGGGCGTTGGGTGCTGTTAGAAACATCCACGTTCACATACATTCAATAGTAGACTGACTGATAAAAAGGACAATGTGATTGTTGGAACAGTGGGGCTTCTTCTTTGTGCCTGTTGGGTTCTCTTGACTTGAGTTTTAGTTCTTATGATATAATTGATTTCGTTTTGGGGCTCTTCCCTTAGTCACTTGGGCTTTTGTAGATTTTAAAGTTAACTTCCACCCAGCTCGTTTGTTTCTCTTTAAATTAGAAGAATCACCAGATTTATTTTGAACGGATTTGAAGAAATGTTCGAAGACACAATAAATCAGATCTTTTCCCTGCTGAAACAACCTGCCGATTTCTTGATCTATGTTTTTCTTGATCTATGTTTTTGTATCATTGGCTTAATATTCCATTTGTATATTTTCCCTCTCTAAGGTAACATCACCATACGGGAACAACCTCTACCACAAGGAGAATCAAACAAATGGGCAGTTTGCATTCACCACAGCAGAGGCTGGCAACCATTTGGCATGCTTTTGGATTGATGGCCATCATGAGCGTGGTGGTGATGTTAGCTTAAGTCTTGAATGGAGAACTGGAATTACAGCTAAGGATTGGGAATCAGTTGCGAGAAAGGAAAAAATTGAGGTGCGTTTTACACTCTTAAACTGATGCATACACTTCCAATATATGTTGACATTGACTTGCCATTTACTGGATGGTTGAAAAAAGTATCTATTTAGAGATTTACTTACTATAGGATTACAAAGCCACTGAAGTCTTATTGATATTTGTTTGCATATCAATCCAATTGTAACTCATGGTTTATGTATGTGCCAAGCCCTTCGTTCTCTCACAAAATAGAACTGACGTGGTTAAAATGCCAACATTAAGACAGTGAACCTGCTGATTATGCAGCTCAGCTATGATATTTTCATTGAAGTTGGTACACTTAAAGGCTTTTAGAAAGGGACATAACAGAACTTCAGTGTTGAACATTTGGTCTTTAACTGAAGTTCTGAATCATGTATCATGACTTTAATAACTGTAAAGAGCAGCCATTGTATGGACTAAAGATAGAAAATCTTGGATTGAGGCTTTACTCTTCCTCTTTTAAATTACAATCATTGATGAAATGTTTTGTTTCTTCTAAAAAGAAACGGCTAGCATCTTTGTATTTTTGTTTGTCCCTCCTTTTTCATTTTCTGGAGTCATCTTTTGACTGGTCTAATTTTAGTTTATCCAATTGTTCAGTTTTAACGTAGGTTTCATTTGAATAATTTTGTGCTCGGTGGGAGTTAGTCGGTAAAGGAATGTTCTTACAAAAAATAAGCACATTTTTTTGGTTGCATATGGCTGAGTTAATTTTTTTGAGGTGGACTAGGATGCAATAGCTATTTGGAGTTTTGACTTGAGGTGTGGGAAAGAGAAACAGTTAGTGTTCAAATTAAGATTTAACAACTAAGAGAATTTGTTTGCTTTTGATAATAATAAAATTGAGAGCTTGATTGTGTTGGGAATTAGATACTTGTGTCATACACGCCCCAAAAATGGATTTATAAAAAATCTCAATTGGAAAAAGAAAATATCACAGTACCATTATAGTTATACAAATCTTTTGACAAATTACACGAAGTAGAGAGGAGTCTAAATCCAAGATTCCAACCTCAGTGTTCCTCATACTGCTGTTCCACATACCACCGATCCACAAAGAAGCCAATGGAACCAACAATTTTGTTAAATCTTAGGAAAGGCAACTGCAAGGGAATATCAAGGACCCAAAAATCCTCCTAAAACAAGATTATATCACCCTTTACAAAGAAGATAATTTTCACTGAAACAGTGTTTCTTGAGATAGGGCTACATGCTTTTGGAGTTTGAAGCACCTCTAGCTTGCACTATCCAATTACCTGAGACTAACTAGTGTTTACTATCTTTGTAGTGAGTAGAACCCTTCTAGCTGCTGATTAGTTCCCCTTCACTTGTGAAGGAGAGGTTCCCATTCCACGGCAGTTTTGTCAACAAATATATTTTGGGTCGGAAACTTCGTTCTCAAAAGAGGGGATGCAATCATCGTGAATTCCTCCTTAGGGCATTAATTTCTATCTAAAGTTTATAAGCTCAGTCATTTAGCAAGGGTGCTTAAAAATAGGGGGAGTTAGGGAGTACAATTTTTTTTTTTTTTTTTTTGG